TGCCTGTGGTCCTCCCTGAGCTCAGAGCCCATCTCCAGACCTGGTGAGGACCCAAGGCTTGACCCAGTGTTAGGGGGTCCTTTGCCCTGAGTCCAGCCCCACCAGCTCCTCTCCCCACAGGACTGGCTGTGGTGGCTGCGCCCGTGGTGCTGAGTGCTGTGGGCTTCACCGCAACAGGAATCACTGCCTCATCACTGGCTGCCAAGATGATGTCAGTTACTGCCATTGCCAATGGTGGCGGGGTGCCGGCTGGGAGCCTGGTGGCCACTCTGCAGTCCGTGGGTCGGTATCCAGGAGGGTGCTGTGGGGGGAGGGGTGGGAGGGTGGGTGAAAGCCATCCTTGCAGATGGGGCTGATTCAGCTGCTTCCTGGCAGAGGGAGGTAGCTTCCAGCTGGACTCTCCACTGGAGATCATTGCTGCCTCATCCCCAGACTGAGATCCCAGGGTTTCAGAAAACAGGGTGTGCTGGGGACCCCTGGATCTCAGCCGCTCTGCCTCCTCCACTGGGGCTGGGGGGGGGGGGGGGGGGGGGGGGGGTGAAAGCCATCCTTGCAGATGGGGCTGATTCAGCTGCTTCCTGGCAGAGGGAGGTAGCTTCCAGCTGGACTCTCCACTGGAGATCATTGCTGCCTCATCCCCAGACTGAGATCCCAGGGTTTCAGAAAACAGGGTGTGCTGGGGACCCCTGGATCTCAGCCGCTCTGCCTCCTCCACTGGGGCTGTCACATACTGGTAGTTCTGTCCACTTCTCCAGCTTATATGACTCTGCTCACCCTGTTTCTTCCCAGGGGCCACTGGACTCTCCATGTCTTCTAAAGCCTACCTGGGCACCATTGTGTCAGCTGGGACAGCCCTTGTGACCAAAGCAATAGGCTTCTAATAGCTCCAGGCCCCTGCCTGTAGAAGAGAGGACACAGGAGCAGAGATTGGTGTACCACAGCTGAGCTGACCCAGGAAGGGACCAGTCCCAAGGGGACTACAAGTACTACACCCCTACTGAAAATAAGGAATAAAATGAGTTATAACAACCCTTATCTTTACAGTTCCTCCTGATTGTGGTTTGCTTGGGAAGGGCCAAAGCTCTGGGCAGTGACCACTTGATAATCAAGGGCATATTAGGCTCAGTTCCTTCTCCCACCGTATAATCACAGTGTGATCTTTCATTGGGTTGGCCTACGCTGAGCTGGAATGAATCTAAAGTAACAACAAGCTGTCCCCTGCCCTACCACTGACTCTGTATGTAACTTTGGGCAGGTCACCCCTTCCCTGGATGTAGATGTATCAGTCTGAAAATGGGGCATTGAAACAAACAAGTCCATAGGAGAAGGGGGTATGGTGGGCTGCAGTGGCAGAAGGCTCCCTATTTGGAGCCATTTGCTTCCACACCAGAGTATTGAATCCTTCTTCGCGCACTTACACACCAGTGATGTTTTCTCTAATGGCTCAGAAGTGTCCCTGGCTCATCCCAAAGTCCAAGTCCATTCCAGAATTACCCCCCTTCCAGCAATTTGCTGAGGTGACTTGAACCTTGTACTCCATAGCCCTGCTTCTTAAAGCTTTTCCCCTCTGAGAATAAGGATATATCAATTCGCTTTCCTGTTGCTCCGATTAAATACCTGACACCCACAATTTAAAGGAGGTGCTTGTTTATTTGACTCATGTTTCATAAAATTCAGTTCATGGTTTGTTGGCATCAAGGAAGGAACGTCATGGTGGGAGTGTTGCGGGAAATATGAAATACATCTTCCAGCCCGTTAACTGTATGCTATGCCGACTTCTTATTCTCTAGAAATCAAAAAATGAGTCCTAGGAATGATGGAGGTTAAAAGTAGGAAGATGTTTATTGATAGGAAAGTTCCCGAGGGTCAGGAGGGGTCCTGAGTGGGTAGCCAAGGACCCCACTTTACAGAGAAGTGTTTTTGTTTTTTTCTTTTTTGGTACCGGGATCGAACTCGGACCTTGTGCTTGTGAGGCAGGCGATGGCACCACTGAGCTAAATCTCCGGTCCTACAGAGAAGTTTTCTAGGGTGAAACCCACGTGGGTACAATGTGGGCCTCAGCCATGAACATCCAATAACGTTACAAGTACAGTCACTTAGGTAATGGTGGTCCAACAGGGAAGCAAGTCACGTAGCAAGTGTGGATGGAAAGAATAAGGATTCTCTTAGGAGGCGGTGAGAGGTCTCTGGTCACCCCCAGGGTGGCCTATGTCCATCTATACTTCACTAAGCCCAGTTCTTTGAAGAAGTGTGTGGGTCTGGTCATCTTGTCTCCATCTTGAGGCCCTGTTTTCAGCCGATGTGCAGCTGTGATGTGTTTCACCTTTGCCCTGGCCCTCTCGAGGATTTAGCCCTATCTGACTGCCTATAATAGTTCTACCTAGCTCATCTATGACAGAAGGGTATGGTGGAGGAAAAGGTGCTTACCTTATGGTACCCAGGAAGCAGAGAGACCAGGAAAGAGCCAGAAAGGAAGGACCTAAGGGTCACACAGAACACTTAAAGTCATGCCTCCATAACCCACCCAGTATACCCAGAAGTTTCCACTACTAATCTTCTAAGCACCATACAAGCCAATCAAGTTAAGAATCAAGATTAGCCATCTATCACATTTAGCTGTGATGTTTCTACTTGCCAGGGTCCTCCTGCCTCTCGGGGGCTATCCCATCAATAAAATATCTTCCTACTCTTTAACTCCGTTGTTTCTAGCATTCATTCTTCCATTTTAGAGAACATGAACTCGGCATATCAGACATCCAACAGGTTGAGAGATATAATACTTTCATATCCTATATTGCTACTGTTAGGTAACTATTTTAAGGAAATTTCAGTCTACTAAAGAGTCATCTGCACTCCTGCATTTACTGCAGCACTAAATCATAATAGCCATTGTCTTAGTTACCTCCTTGTTTCTGGGACAAAAATAACTGATGCCCACAAGTTAAAGGTTAAAGGAAGACAGATTTATTTTGGCTCTCAGTTTGTAGATTTCAGTCCATAGTCAGCTGGCTCCAAAGCAGGGTGGCACAGCAGACAGCCATAGCAGAGGAGAAAGTCCATAGCAGGGCAGGAAGTGAGTAGAGAGCCACCAAAGGTGATACATATACACTTTCTCCTTCCAGGCCACACCCACTGACATTTACCTCTTTCCACTAGGCTTCACCTCCCAGCAACACACCCAGCTATAAACCCATCACAGACTAATCTGGTGTCACACACCCATGATCCAGTGTCACCTATGTTCCAATCATTTCCAAAAGGGGCTTTGAGGGAGCATCTAGATAGAAGCCATAACAGCCCATGAAGCAGAAACAAATGAATTATCCACAAACAGATGAACGGATAAAGTGGTATATTACACACTTGTACACTGTTCAGCCATAAAAATGAATGAAATCTCGTCATTTGCTCCAAGTTGGATGGAACTGAAGATCCTTATATGAAGTGAAATAAACCCAGGAGAGAAAGGTGAGGATGCGTCATCTCACTTGTATGTGGAATAGAAGAAAATTGTTGTCACAGAGGTTGAGGGTGAGTGGTGGGTCTCGGGGACTGGGGGCGTAGGGAGGATGACATAGAGTGATCAGTGTGCACTGTTATAGTTAGAAGTAACAAGTTGTCAGGTGCTACTGCACAATAAGGTGCCTACAGGTAGCAATACTATACTGTATACTTCCAAAGGCTGGAAGAAAAGACTTTGAATATTTTTCCATAAAGCAATGAAAAATATGTGAGATGATGGATGTGTTTGACCTGATGTAAACATTATGCAATATCTACATAAATCAAAACATCAAACGATACCCCATACGTTTGTATAATCTTTATGTTTTTAGGTATCCCTTAAAACAAATGTAATTTCAATTGTAATAAAAGGAGAAATTTAAAAGTTATTTAAAGAGGCAGATATCTGCAAATGCCGAAGAAATGAAGGTTGTTAAATGGCGGAAGAAAATAACAATGGAAAGACTTATAGCAAAAGCAAAGCTATGCCCTTTGTTCCAAGTTTAAAATCTGCCTGGAGCTTTCTTAAAATTGAACACAAAAATTGCATTTTGTGACACTTTAGGGCCTTCTGTGCATCCATCCTTAATAAATAAGGCTGCCAGACATTGTTATCTATACTTTTTACTAATTCATTATATATATTTATCCCCAAACCAGGACGGAACAACTCAAAATTTCAATAATAATTTTTTTTTCTGTTCAGTGTGCGATTTAATCTCAACAAACACCTTCAGGATGTTTTGGATATAGTGCTTTGTAAGTTTTAGTTGTTATGAAGCAACATCATTAGTCAACTTATTTCAGCTGCTCTCACATCAGGAAACAGATGGTGTTAGAATGTGGAGCTTGATTTTACAAAATTAATTTGTTCTATCAACTTCCACATCGTCTCTAGTTTTTTGGCACTACCCATCTCCCTGAAAATTTAATGTAATTCCCATGGCAATAATCTATCTCTTTCTTTCTCCCTATCTTTCAGTTACAAAGCAATGGACACCCTTTTAACCTTGTATAGGAGCTGTAAAAACAAAGAGGAAGGAGAAGGGGATGAAGATGGGGAGGAGGGTAGGGAGGAGGAGGAAAAGGAAAAAGAGAAGGAGGAGAAAAAAAGAAAGAAAACAGAAAAGAGAAAGAAAGTAAAGGAAGAAGAAGGCTTTGAAAGATCTGCAGTGTTAGCCCTTCATGAAGTCTGTCATTTATGTCAATAAAAAACCAAACCAAACCCCAAAACTCTCTAAATAAACTCTGGAAAAGAAGAAATGGTTCTACAATGTATTCCAAATACAGTAATGGTCCTTAAACGTCATTTTGAAATAACATTGATATAAAATAATTCTATAACGATGACAAAGCATCTTATAGCAAATGAAAACAGTTGATACAGCAGCCAAATCCGGTTTCCACAATCACCAGATTTTCCAGTGAACCAGAAAGGGAGGCTGGGATTGGTTTCGATTTCCTGGCAAAAGGAAACCTATGTCATTGGTTGCCCTGGACGTCACCCTATGGTAGGAAAACACTTCTGCTGGTTGAAACCTGAAGGGCAGGGCAAGGCCCCCTTCACTGCAAGCTCCAAACTCAGGTGGGTGGGCAGTATCCTTACTGGGTGTTGCCTCTGGGATTTGTTTTTCTCTTCTCAGGGCAGCTTGGTGGGGGGGTTGGATGGGATGGGCCTTGAGCCCCTGGACTCTGGGGTTTGGGAGCAGTATGCCTTGTCTGCCTTTCCCTGGAGCCTGAGTGTAGATGAAGGTGAAGAGGGCACAGGGAGAAGCACAGTAAGTGGCAGGCAGAACAAAATCAGAGCCATTGGACATTCACCTTATTGGGAAGCAGGTGGACCTGGCTGAGGTCTTGCTTTGCTAGGGAACCTTCTGACCTGGAGCAAATCCCATACCCTTTCTGAGCTGGACTCTGTCTCCTCCTCTGTATAATGGGTTACGATCCCGGCTCTCTGACCTTCCAGGGGAGATGATCGACAACCAGGTGCCCACAGCGCCTTGCTGCAGTATGTGCTTTGACAATGTCATTGGTGGTTCTGATTTCCTCATTTGGGGGCTTTCGATTGCACCATGCAGACTGAAGTGAGCTCCACAAGTGTCTGAGATGTGGTCCCTGGGGTTTTTAGGAGAAAGGAAGCAGCCACCAGAGGGAAATATGTCCCTGGAACCCACCCCAACCCCTAAGATGGGAGCCTCAGCAGCCTCATCCCCCCTTCCTTCACCCCAGGCCCCATTTAAGGCCCAGTGCCTCACCACACAGAGCAGGCTCCCATCCACCCTGGTCCCCTAAAGTTTTTTAGGACAGTAGACAGGAAGCCAGTTCTGAGGCCTCATGTTTCCACAATAGCTCTCTCACAGGTTTGCCCGGAACTGGGAAACTTCACTCTGTACCATGCAATTAGCTTGACCAGGCGTGCTGGCCTCTTCCCTGGCCTCCAAGGTAACACCAGCAATGAACATGGCCAAAGTTGGTGGAGTGGCCTCTGGTAATTTCCTAGCCGGCTTCTCATCGCAGGGTGAGTGTGTGGGGGCAGAGGGGGTGCTGTCTGGGAGGTCTCAGAGGCCTGCCCCTGTGGCTGTCTGTCTCCCAGCTGCCTCCAGGTGTCCACCCTGCATTCTCCCTGCCAAGGACCCCAGGGAGGCAGGACCCTGGCTGTGAGCCTGAAGTTTGGGTCCCGAAGTTCTCATAACCAGCTGGTCAGTAAATCCCCTCCCCTCTAAACCTGGGACTCCTGCCTAGACTGAGAGGTCTGCAGAAGCCGCTTACTGTCCCCCTTTTCCTGTAACAGCTAGAAAGGGGAGTGGTTTGGCCCACAGCTGTCAACCCCTGCCCCCCGCTGGCTTCTCTTTGCTCCCTTTTGAGGCCGGCATGGACTGAGACAGTTTGCCTCAGCGTCCAACTGTCCCGCTTAAGTTTACTTCAAAGCTGCTCTCCCTCTCTCGGAAGGGAGGTGGGCTAGGCTGTGAGCCTTCATGTCTCTCTTCTGCTCCTTCTGTTACTTTTAAGTCCCAAAGAGATTTCTTTCCAGGTTCTTGGTGTCCTGAACAAAGAATTGGACCAACCACATGGAAAAGAAACACACTCTGCAGATCGAAGGGGGAGGCTTGGGAATAGACTAACAGTGCTTGTGAGGAATAATGGCAGGGCTCTTTGGTATCTGGAATTCCTAGGTCGCTTCTTCCCCATGTAAGCAAGGCATTTGAGAGGGTTTCCCTATCAGAATCTGAATGTCCACAGAAATGCTCGAGTCCCTTTGAATGTGATAATCATTTTGACCCCCTCTTAGTGTCTCCGTTCCACTTGAAGAAGCAAGAGCTGCTAAAATGAAAGTGTCTTTCCATATCCCTCCTTCTTATTGTGGCCAACACAGCTCATAACTGAAAATTTACCATCTTCCCTATTTTAAAGTGTACCGGTAATCACTGCTGAGCATATTCACATTTTTACTGAAAGGATATCCAGAAGTTTTTTCTTGCAAATCTGAAGCCCTCTACTCATTAAGCAACAATGTCCTTTCCCCCTTTCTCCCTGACTCTGGTGTCCGATTCTCTAGAAATCGGACTACTCCAGATACCTCGTAAAAGTGAAACCCTACAGTATGTCGTTTTGTGACTAATTTAGTCCACTTTGTATCATGTTCTAAGGGTTATTCATGTTACTGCATGTGTAAGAATTTCTTCCTTCTAAGGCTTAGTATCATCCTATTGTTTGACTAGACCACATTTTGCAAATGCCGTCGTCTATCAGTGGACATTTGTCACTGCCACCTCCTGACAATTGTGAATAGTGCTGCCATACACACGGATGTTTCTTCAGAACCCTGTGTCTTTGTCTACTGAGGCTGTTGTAACAAAATCCCACAGGCTGGGTAGTTTATAACCAACAGAATTGTATTTTTTCACAGTCAGTTCTGGAGATGGGAAGTCCTGATGAAGATATAGGCAGATTCACTCTGTCTTGGTTCACAGACGATGCTTTATCTCCTCACATAAGTAAAGAAGGTGGTTGGGGCTCTCGGGCCCCTTTGGGGGGAGTCTTTCCATTCTTTAGGCTTGTGGTTTCATAACCTCTCAAGTCTCACCACCTCATTCTATCATCTAAGGATTAGGGCTTTAGAAAATGACTTTGAGGGGATATAAATATTTAGACCAAGCACCCTGCATTCAGTTCTTTGGGTATTCACCCAGTTGTGGTGGCTGGATCATGTGGTAGTTGTATTTGTAAAGTTTTAGAAATTGCATACTGCTTTTCCTAGTGGTTATGCCATTGTTTAATCCCACTAACCCTGCACATGGTTAAGTTTCTCCATATTAAGCCTGACATTTGTTAGTTTCGGGTTTTTTGGCTGTGGCCATCCCAATGGGTGTGAGACAGTATCTCAGTGTGGTTTGATTGGTGCTCCCCAAATAGTGATCTTAAACATCTTTCTTTCTACTCATTCATCATTTGTATACCTTCTGGGGAGAAACTACCGTTGAAGTCCTTTTTCCATTTTTAAAGTGCATTATTTGATTTTGTTGAGATGGAGTTGTAGCTGTTCTCTGCATGATCTGGATATTAGCTCTTTGTCAGATATGTGCTTTGGACGTGTCCTCTCCTCTATGTAGGCTGCTTTGCCTTCTGCTGACCGTGCCCTGTGATGCACAAATGCATTAAGCCCCTTGAAGGCACATTTACATATTTTTGGCTTGGATGCCTGTAGTTTTGGTGTCACATCCAACAAAATTTTGCAAACCTAGTCTCAAGAATATTTTCTTTTCTTTTCTCTTGTTTTATAGTTTGGTGTCTTACCCAGAAGTCTTTAGTCCTCCATGCCTTGCAAAGCTTTTTTCTATCAGTAGAAGACAGAAGATGAGAGATGTATAGATATTTACAAAGTAAATGCTTTATGTAGTGCTGTTGCTTGTATTTCTGTTCAGTTCTGGAGGATGAACCCAGGGCACTCTTCCACAGACCCACAATGCCACATTTTTCATTTTTTATTTTGAGACAAGGTCTTGCGAAGCTGCCTAGGCTGACCTGTAACTGTGATCCTCTTGACTCAGACTTCTTAGGAGCTGAGAGTACAGGGTCGTCGTACCATTGTACCTGGCTTTGCATATGCATTTATATTCGCAAAGTTTTCTTTCACCTACTATTTTTCTGCAGCTGGCCTTTTTCTAGTGTATAGGTCCATTCCATTATTCCATTATTTTTAATTTGTTTTGTTTTGTTTTGTTTGATACTGGGGATCGAATTTGAGACCTTGCACTTGCGAGGCAGGCGGTGGCACCACTGAGCTAAATCCCCGGCCCTGTGCCTTACTTTTCACAGTAATAGTATCCCACATTTTAGAGAGCCATTTCTCTATTTTACTGGTACCCGTGTAGCTGTACATTTTCTATCCTGCAGAAGTTTCCTTGCAAACCACAAACCTGAGACTAGCAAGGGACAGTGACCCTCACTGAGAACAAAGCCACTGGGCACGCCCCTTTGGAGTCTGCTGTCAGACAGCACAGTGTGTCTGTGACTCAACTTCTGTCAGCTACGTGTAGCCTGTGTAGGGAGGAAAGGTGCTTGAAAAGGATGATGTGGGGATAATGATAAAGGTAGAAAAAGTTAGATAGGGGATGGGTAATGAATAGTTAAACTAAACTAAAAGTTTAAAGGGGAAAGGAAAGAAGGGAATGGAAGTAATGTGAGAAAGTGAAAAATAATGGAAACAAAGTCTTTGCAGATAGGGAGGGAGGGAGGGGTTGAAGGGAGGGCAGAGGATGGGGAAAAAATAAGAACCAAGATTGATTATGTAAAAGTACAAATTTCCAACATATTAAATGTACCAATAAAATAATAATTAAAAAAATACAAAAAGGGGCAAAAAGCTGGCCCTTAACCAAATGGGAGAGGCCTGGGAGGAAGGGAAATGCAAACTAAGCAGCTTGCTTTGGGGACATCAAAGGTCTAGCAACAACCAGGAGTTCCCCTGCTTTCTGTCACGTACTCCAGTCCCCAAAACTGTATAAAAGGTCAGCGGACTTCAACGTCTAGGATTTCTTACCCTTCCCCAGCAAGCTGGGAGCTCTTTTCTTTACTTCTTTCTAATAAACACACATTTGGACATTCCTCATCACTTGCTGCTTGCTATTTTGTTGGCTTTAATCTCTGTTGCTCAGAAACAAAGACCTGAGAACTAGAGAGATCTGGTTACAACCGTTCTTTCTCATGGTGGTGTGAGAATGGAACACATTATATATGCAAAGAATTTAGCACAACGTTTATTACCTAGAGTGGGTGAGGAGCCAAAGTTTCTCCATTTTTGCTAAGGCCAAAGTCCTTCCATTTCAACTAATTTAGAATTACACCACTCTCCTCCTCCCTAGCCATTATTTAGATTGTTCAATTAGATAAACAGAAAATAGATGAATAAGACCCATTCCCCTCCGCAGAAGCCACACGGTCTGCTAAAACAAAGAAACAGGATGTTCTGCTAAGGTAAGAATGGGCTGTAGTGATCAGTTGAATAAGGCAAATTCAATTCCACAGACCTCATCTGCGCTCATACTAATCAATAAGTTTAAAGTATAGTCATATATGTACACCAATAAAATGTTAGAGATATAGACCAATAAAAATAGTAGAAATAATAAAGAAAATAGCCAATAAGAAAGTTAAGATTTTCAAGCCACCTTAACCCTATATAACCCTGTTATAATCGCAAGTCTGGTGGACAAGGGTCCAGGTTCGAACCTGAAATAAACTTCTCTTGTATTTACAGCAGACTCATTTCTCTGGTGGTCCTTGGGGAAACTGAGATCTCGGTACAACATTGGGATATGACATTATTGCCCTATGTCTTTGGCGCCCTGTGGTGGGGGAGACTCACACTACTGGTACTCCTAAAGAAACTGTGTGTGTACAGCACATACAGAGTATTTTCTTCTTGTATTGTATTAGAGATCATAAGTGAGCTGGGGATGTTTTTAAACATACAGGATGGTGTGGGTGGGTTAAATGCAAATACTATGATGATTTGTATAAGATACTCAAACATGCAGAATTTGGTCTGGGGCTGGTGACCTGAAACTCATCCCTATCTGATATGAAAGAATTATTTCATTCAGTTATATATCCTGTTCAATTTCCCCTCATTTCCCTGTGAGTTCCATGAGATGGATGTGTTTGGTAATGTGTTGTTGTATCTCTAGCATACTGGGCCACCAGTGGGGACCAGTTTTAAAAACTAAACTACATGGCTAGGATGAATACAGTGAAACTCACATTTTTTTGTTTCCAAGAGAAATTAAAATTTGTCTTTTATTGTATGATCTTAGTTATATTTCTTGTGCACAGCACTCCCCCTCATTCACCAGTTGAATGACAGATCAACAGGGTAGACAAGGGATTTTTGGACAAAACCTCAAAAGTGCAGGAAAAAAACCTCAGACAAACAAATGGATGACATTAATTAAACCAACAAGATTCTGCACGACTGAGGAAACAACAGGGAAGAGACAGACCACAATATAAGAGAATATATTTGCAAAGTATGTATCTGACAAGGGTTAATATCCAGAATATACAAAGAACTAAAATGCTAATAGCAAAAAAAAAAAAAAAAAGAAAGAAAGAAAGCACTGGGTGATAGCCTAAATAGATATTTCTCCAAAGAAGACATATAAATAGAAGGCATATGAATGGCCAACTGATATTAAAAAAATGCTCAACTTCATAATCATTAGAGAAATGTAACACATTACTGCAATAAGATGTTACTTAATCAAGAATGGCTGTTCTCTGAAAGACAAAAAGTAGTAAGACCTGATGAGTGTGTGGAGAAAAGAGATCCCTTGAGCACCCTGGGAATGGAAACTAGAAAGATTAGCCACCAGGAAGGTGACTTCCAAATGTTAAAAATAGAGCTGTGATCCTGCAATCCTGCTTCTAGGTGATGATCCAAAAGGAGAGAAACCAGTCTGCTGAAGAGACATCTGCATGGTCATGGTTATTGCAGCACTATTCACAACTGCCAAGAAACAAACAAGTCACACATCAGCTGATGAGTGCATAAGGAAACAGCGGCACATGCGCACTGGTGCACTGTCCAGTGGTAGAAATGAGTGACATGCTGACCTTCGCTGCAACTGGAATAGAACCAGAGGCCCTTCTGTGAAGTGAAATAAGCCAGGAAGAGAAAGGCGAGGATGCATGGTCTCACTCACATGTGGAAGAGAAGACACTGATCTCATAGAAGTTGAGGTTGAGTGGTGGCTCATAGGGGCTTCGAGAGTAGGGAGGATGAGGGGAGATTGATCAGTGGGCATTAAGTTATAGGTAGGCAGAAAAGAAATTCTAGGGTGCTATCGCACAGGGAGGTGATTGCAGATAACAATAATGACATGCATATATATATAAAGTATGAGAAAGCTAGCAGAAAACATTATGAATATTTTTGCTATAAACCCATGATAAATACGTTTGACCCGATTTTAACTTTATAAAATGTGTACATGTATGAGAATATCATATGCTACCCCATAAGTACGTAAAATCCATATGGTTTTATACATCAGTTAAAATAAATGTAATATAAATTAAAAGAAAGAAGAAAAAGCTAGTAGTTATTCAGAGATATAGATGTCAGGAAATGGCAAAGAACCAAAAGTTTTTAATAGTGAGAAAATAAGCAACTATGGAAGATCTATACCAGAAGGCAAAGATTGGCCCTTTGTTCTAATGGTTTTTTTTACCTACCTGGAAACTTCTTAAAATTGAATTTAAAGATCACATTTTATGACCCTTTCATGCTCCCTGTGTGATCGATCCTTAACCAATATGGCTGGTAAAAAGAGCATCTCTATTTGGTGCTATTTCATTATGTGTATTTATCCCAAATCTATGTAGAAATAACTCAAAGTTTCAATCTTAAAGGGCATTTTTTTTTTTTATTCAGTGTGCAGTTCAATCAGAATGAAACCCTTCAGGGTGTTTTGGACCTTTCTTTGCTTTGTGAGTTTTAGCTTTTCATGAAGCAACATCATTAGTAAATGCCAGAGCCCGCAATATTGACTATGCCCCAAACACGCTGTGAGCAGGGCAGGCTGCAAAGAGTCAGCCCCTCGACGGGCTCACTTTAAGAAGGAGGTCTGCCTGAAGCTGTGTGACTCACAGGACATCACGAGCATTGTGGGAGTGAGCAGGTTAACACCACCTCCCTGCTAACCCACGGCCAAGACCAGAGTAACGGCCTGTGAAGCTGTGAGGCTGATACAAGACGACATCCATAGCTGAGGTCGGGCTGATCGCACCCAAACTCCATTCCCACAGTGGGTCCTTCACAGCTTGAAGGACAATGCTCCAATTACAACCAGGTATTTTGTATGTTCTGTTCCTGATTTGAAAATGCTCTGACTTCTCTTTAAAGCCATGCTTGCATTGGTTTCCATGGAGATTTCACGTACCGCACATCTATATACATATTGCACCTTTACCCTGACTGACAAATAATAAAATTTGGTGGAAGAGATGGGCCAGGGCCTTTTGCCAAAGGGAGCATTGGCCATCCCGGTTCACACTTTCTCTTTAACTCTAAGTTTTTCTTCAACTCTGCGTCGCACACTGGCAGGTGGGGACTACAGACTTACTGCAGGAGTCTCTGGTAAGTACAATTATTCCAATTGCTCTCACATTTGAAAAAGATCTTCTAAGAGAGTGGAGAATGAGTTTACAAAAGGTGAATTTATTATGTTAACTTCAACAACTTCTCTAGTTTTTCACACCACCCTAGGAAGAATGTAAATAACATGACAAGAATCTCTGTCTCTTCGTTTCTCTCTCTCTCTTTACCTTTCAGTTACAAAACAATGCCCACTCATTTCAACCTTGAACAGGAATTGTTAAAAGAAAAAAGAACATTTAAAAATCTGCAATGTTCTCCCCATTTGAAGACTCATCACTGGCGTCAATATGAAAAGAAACTCTAAATAAATTCTGGAAAAGAAAAAAATATTTGTACAATGTATTCCAAATACAATAAAAATCCTTAGAAGCCATTATAAAATGTGATCGGTAAAGCAATGATATAAAAACAACAAAGCATTTATATTAACTGGCAATGATGAATACAGCAACCAAATCCAATTTCTACAACAACCAGTTTTCTGCTAACCAGAAAGGGAGGCTGGGGTTGGTTTCAATTTCCTGAGAAAAGGAAGTTTATGTCATTGGCCGTCTTCCTCCCTGGCCCTCCTCCTGCAGCCAATGACCTAGGTTTCCTTTTCTGTGAACACCTTGCTGGAATCAGCCCCTCCTCCAGGATTCAAAGAGTGATGGCTTCGCCAAGGTGCCATGGGCTGGGGCCACCCTGGGGCAGGGCCCTCCCCTGTGCTCTGTGGAGGTTCCTGGATCCCAGAGCTGCGGCTTCCAGCAGCTCAAACTGCTCTTTGCTCACACCGTCTTGGGTTAAACTCAGAGTTCAGAAACCATCCCTGTCCCGGCATTGCACCAAGGCAGACACCAAGATCCCGAACAAGTGACTTCCCCAAAAAAGCTGCTGCTGGCATTCAGAACCTGGCTCAGGAAGCTGTTGGGGGAACCCCCTGCCCTTCCTTCCTCTTTCCCCACATGGCCCAGCTCCCTGATGTTCACTGCTGACCATACCCATGGTTTCCTGCGAGGTCAGAGCCCACCTCCTCTGCACTGTGAGGACCCCCAGGCTTGACCCAGTATGAGTTCCATGCCCTGAGCCCACCCCTGCCAGCCCTTCCCACAGGCATTGGACACGGGGGCTGTGCCTATCTTGCTGAGCACCATGGGCATCACTGGGGCAGGAATCATGACCTGGTGACCAGGATAATGCTGGTGACAGCCATTGCCAAGGAGTGCAGGGTTGCCTTTGGAAGCAGGGTGGCTGCTCTGCAGTCCTTGAGTGAATGTCGAGGTGGGGCTTGAGGGGGAAGGAAAAGGGGGACAAGAACCACCAAGGACTTGGCCCAGATCTCATCCCCACACCCTGGGGCCAGTGCCTGTGCCACCCTCTGGTTTCTTGCTGGGTTTCTCATGTGGAGGGGAGGAGCTGGGTCTATTGTACCAGGTTCAACAGCGTGGGTTACTCGGGCATCTCCTCCACCCAAGTGTTGGTTTTCCAGCCTCATCCCTGCAGAGGGAGGCAGCTTCTAGCTGATTCTCTGCTGGAGTTTACTGCTGCCTTCGGACAGAGGCCCTGCTGTTGGGCCTTCTTCCACGCGCAAGATGCTCACTACCATCTCCCCAAGTCCCCAACCCGGAGCTACTCTCCACCTCCTGCCTCAGGAGGGGTTCTGAGCTCAGGAATTACAGGGGCCCAGGAGGTGATGTGGCTTCCTCAGTGATTGCCCTGGCAAAGGAAGTAAAGGGCTCCTGTGTCCTCAGAGCTCTGCCCTCTGTCCTCAAGTCTCCATAGCAACTTCCTGACATGACAGACTCCTGGGGGTCAGGGTGGACACCTCCTGTCCACTGTGGCAGCCAGCAAGCACTGCAGGCTTTAGGGAAGGATGAGAATTTCCCTTTGCACTTTCCAGACAGTGTGGTGGCCACTCTTGATCCACTCTCCTTCCTGAGGTGCCCAGATCCCCCCTGTAAATCTGGGTACGCTGTTTTTTGTTATGGCTTGTTGGCTGCCCCACAGGACTGTGGGTAAGGATATGTTATTCATCCTGGGCACCTAGAGCCACGTACAGGGACAGATTGAGGATTCTGGGGTCAGTGGTTCCCTTCGTGTCCCTCATCTCTGCCTCCCAGCAGGAACTTCTGTCAACCTAGCATCGAAGTAGGGATAAACTGAGACCCACAGAAAGCCCAAGGACAGCCCTGGACCACACACGCCATCATTTCCTGCCTCTGACTGTGCTGGGCCCACCTGCCCTCCCTCTTTGCCCTCCAGGACAAGGCTGGCTTGGAGAAATGAGGTCTCCATCCCCCACCCCCCATGCACCACTCCCCAAACAATAAGGAGAGGTACAAAGACAGGAGGCACATGGCATGTAGCCTTTATTTCTCATCTTTCCCTGATTTGACTGAGGGTTTTGTGCATTCAACTCGGGACACATTTTATCTTTGCTGGATTTATTTAGCCTCTTCAGGCTTAGGATCCAGTTGAATTCTCAAATAAGGTCCCCACAGCTGCCCCGAAGGAGCCCAAGATGATGTTGGATGATGTGGAGAGTCCAGCTGCCCCTGGGGAAGAGAGAAAGGTGAGTCACAGGAAAAAGGTGGTGGGACACCGTCCTCTTTCCTCTGTGCACACCCCCCACCCCAGCTCTGCTTTGGACAGAGGAGGCTGAAAGTCGAGGACTGGGTGTATTCTTGGGAACTGAGAGTTACAGGCTACCAACCTTATCCAAGGTAGGTTGCTGAGGCCCCGAGAAGGATAGGGAACTGCCCAGGTCACCCAGGATCCAGCTTGGCTAGGGCTGAGTCCAGAGCCCAGGCATCCTGCATCCTGACACGGTCTCTTTCCTTCTTCTCCCTACCTAGTACCCCCTCAGCCTCCTGTCACCCCAAGCCTCGCTGGGAGGGAGCTGGACTGGATTGTGGGAAAAGCGATTGGGAGACAACTTTCACATACTTGGGAACAAGGAACTTCGGAGGAAGAAGAGGAAGGAGCTCAGGCTCTGGCTTCGGTCGTCACCCTCTCTGGTTCCCCTATGGGGTCACTTATCCACGGACTGCAGTGTGGCCACCACGCTGCCCGCCGCGATCCCTCCCCCGTTGGCGATGGCGGCTGCGGACATCATCTTGGCTGTCAGGGAAGAGGCCGCGATCCCGGTCGCAGTGAAGCCCATTGCGCCCAGAAGGAAGGGCGCCGCGCCCAGGGCTGCCGCTGCGGGGTAGAAGGAGGGGCTGCCCTTGGGGCTCCGGGAAGGGACTTGCACTTCCCTGACATTTTCCGGGGACTGCGCCGTAAGCTGGGAAGGGGGGCGGGGAGTGTCCAGGGTTAAAAAAAGAAAGTGGGCATGGAGCCAGGTGCTGACGAAGAGGTCCCAGGTGGACCGGGTACGGAGCTCCCTGGTGTGTCCCTAGCCTGCTGCGCGACGCTGCGGAAGTCCCTAGCCTTCCCCGGGCCTCCGGATGAAGTGGTGCCACTGCGCCGGGTGAACCGCCGGCCGCCAGGACGCGACCTGGAGTTTGCCTGCGCTTCCCCCAGCAGCTGCGGGAGAGGCCGGGCGCCTTGGCGCGCCTGGTCTCGGGGTCCCGAAACGAACCTCCTCCGACGGCAGCGGCCACCAGTGCTGGGGAGAGAAGTGAGGCAAGAGGGCCGGTTAGGGAGGCAGCTGGGGGGCGAGCGCCCCGCTGCCCCTCGAGCGCAACCCGGGAAAGGGAAACTCACAGGCCGTGGCTAAGGATCCTGCTCGCAGCGGAACGGAGCTCTCTCCGCTGCCTTGGTCCAGTCCCCTTCTCCTCCCAAAGGCGACCCTAGGAAAACAACCTCTCATAAATTTAGGAGCCCCTGGAGGCAGCCCAAAGGGCTCAATCATTGTGGCTTTTGTTACGAGGAGGTCTTCTCGAGTCTTCTTCAGTTTCTTACTTCAGTATCCTGTTATAACCAAGGTCTTTCACCTCATTTAGATCGATTCCCAGGTTTTTTTCCTGAAGCTATTGTGAATAGAATCTTCGGATTTTCTTCCTCAGCTAGTTTATTATAGAAAAGCTTCTGATGATTTAATGTTGATTTTATATCTTGCTACTTTGCTGAATTGTTCAGAGAGAACTTTTCATTTTATACCAGGGATGGTTTATTTCTGGTTTGTAAAAAGTTTTATTTTTTTTTCCTGTTGTTTGTTTGTTTGTTTTCCCCCTGAAGTAAATCTTTCCCTATTCAGGAATTCTCTTCTAGTGAATTCTGTTGACACATACTTGAGACAAAATGTTTCTCTACTCTGATATGACTTGCACTCTTTCCAACGGGAAATCTACTTTTATTCTTATATTTGATACTCTTAGAAATCATGTGTCTTTTTCTTCTCTGGTTGCTTTTAAAATGTTTCTTCATATCTGGTTTGGCACTCCTTGCACAGACTTCTGTTTCTTGTGCTTGAGGTTTAGTGAGCTTCTTGAGTCAGAGGATTTATGCTTTTCATCAAATTTCATAAATATGGCCACACTTCCTCCATCCCCACTCCCTTTGGTAAGGACTCCAGTTGAACCTATGACTGGCCTTGTTGTCACTGTGCACTCAGTGATGCTCTGTCCACTTTCTTGAGTCTTTTTTCTCTTTAGTTTCATTTAGGAGAACATCTCTTGCTATTTCTTCAAGTTCACTCATCTTTTCTTCTGAAATGCCAAATCTTCCCAGCTTTCTTTCCATACATTATTCTTCTCAGACGTTGCATTTTTTTTTTAATCGCTGGAAGTTGGTCTTGGGCTTTTCCTGTATTCTGTGTTCACCTCTCTGCTGAACATTTGTAACACAGTTCTAAGAACCATCTCTGGGTCTTTGTTAACTCTGTCACCCAAGTCTGTTGGAAATAAAGTACAACTAACTAGCCTTTGTCTCTGGTGCCTGGGAAGGAGTCTGTAAGTCCTTGGAATTTTCTGAGCAATAGGAAAGTCTTGTTAGTTCTGAGCACCGCAGCTCCGGCCTGAGTTGCTGAACAGGAATAAGATGACTTGCAGGGGGCAGGTCCAGCTGGCCATCCAGCTGGCTGTGCTCCTGGTCACTGGCTTTCTTTTGCTTGTAGGCCCTCCTGGCTAACATAGCAAGGAACTAAACACAAGGGTCATCCATCCCCTCAGGGGCCTTTCTGTCTCCTCCCCTTGCTTTCCTGTGAGCCAACAGCAAAATGATCTGTCTCGTGTCATTGCCATCCATTTACTCGCTTGATCCATTTCAGCACATATTATATATCTCTACCAGAATTATTAACTTGTGCCCCCAAAGGAAGTGATCAGTTGGAGAATGGTGCTAACTCATGGGTTCTCTGGCTCTAGTTTCACACATTCTCAGTAATGTACATCAGCACCATTCCCCCGCCTCCTTCCAAGAGATTGTTTCTTTTTGGTACTGGGGACCGAACTCGGGTTCTTGCCCTTGTGAGGCAGGCAGTGGCACCACTGAGCTAAATCTGAGAGATTCTTTCATACGCTTGTAATACAGTGAGATTCTGTCATTGCATTCTGTATCCCACCTGATTCCCTGGCAGCTTAATTTGTTCTTATTTTGTGGACTAAAGTTCTACGGATTTTGACACACATATCATGTCACACATCCATGTGTCTGTACAGAATAACCTCACTGATCTAAAAATCCCTGTACTTCCCTACCCAACACCCCACCCTTCCACACTGTACAGTCGCTGATCTGTGCAGCATCATTAGAGGTTTGTCTTTCCCTACAACTGTGCATTTATATGTCATGTATTCTATGATCACCAAACCTCTCTTCATAGCCCTCTGAAGGGCACCTTTCTTTGTTCTGCTTGGCCTGATAATTTTAGAAAAGTTATCACTGACAGAACTTGCAAAAGTATGCTTGCCCCACACCCCCATTTCCTAAACTTTGCTGTGTGTAACTCCATAGGTGGACCTCATCTTGGACCAGAGTGGTCTGAGATGCAATCATTTTTGTGTACACCCCCCCCAGACGATGAGCCCCTCTGGCAATCTTTCATCCTGTAAGCATATTTAAAAGTATGCAGAGAAAAAGGAGAAAGAAAAGGACTCCTGCTGTGCAGTGTCGGTTACCTCAGAAGCAAGGGTGAAGTCTGGGTGTTTTATATCTTCTTTTGTCTCATCTGAGACATCTGTTGGATTCTATGATTTGAAAAAGATTGGGTGTGGCGTGTGGCCCAGGGCATGGGTTCCTGGGGAACGGTAGAGCTTCACTGTTAGGAATGTGGTTGGTGGATCAGAGGCATCTATGCTACCAAGAACTGATTACAAAAGGCTGCACTGGGGCCACTGAGGGGAGGTCATTGTGAGGGGAGGAAAGAGATCTTCCTGGAAGACCTTGGGGTCCCTAGTAGTAGCCCACACTGAGCTCAAGAAGGGACAGGGAGGACCACATGGGGAGAGCGCACCTTTTTCTGATGCTGCAGATGTGCAGCTTGTCAGTCCAAGATTTGCTTGAGTCAGGTGGGCCTAGTGAAATTGGTAGGGTCCTGGATCCAGCCTTACTTGAAGCTGTGCCTCCTGCATCTTCATTTACAAGAACCACCATGCTGTCCCCCCAGGTCTTTTGTTTCCTTAGGATCTTTATTGGTGGGGCTGTCTAGCAAGGTAGTCAAATGATTTTGAATCAAAATATATCTCTCTAGGAGTTGAATTATTGCATCAGCCAGAGGCTGTGAAATTGTTATCAACAGGAGTTCCTTTCCTTCTGCTCACCTCCCTGGCAGTATTTTCTCTGTAGCTAAGAAGGTCTGTGGAGGGAAGGTCGGGGCCAGGTGGGCTTTCTGGGGCACCAGGTTAACAGCTCAGACCTGCAGAACTGGAGCATATTTCTCAACCCCTCTGCCTCAGTTTCCTTCCTCTGTGAAATGGCAGCTGTGGAGCCCTGCTCCAGAACTATGAGCTCCAGGGTGCAGCTGCAGATGAAGGGAGAAGTTCCAGGTAGGACCGAGCCCAGGGCAGCAGCCTACTGAGCTCAGTGAGGAGCCCCACTGTACCATGGGCAGGACCGAGTGCTGACAAGGATGTGGAGCCTCTCTTCTACAATTCCCAGTGAGAGGGGATGGCTGTAATCCAGCACTCTGGCAGGCAAAGGCAAAAGAATTGCAAGTTCCAGCCCAGTAGGGGCAACTCAGTAACTTAGCCAGACCCTATCACAAAATAAAAAAGGGCTGGGGATGTAGCTCAGTTGAAGGCCTTGGATTCAATCTCCAATACTGCAACAAACAAACAAAGAAACTGGCATTGACACTTTGGCTAGCTGTTTTTAAGTTACACATACATGCATTAGTCCCACTCCTGGGTTTCTACTCAAGAGCAACGAAAGCATTGTATCCTCCCAAAGCCTTGCTCACAGTGTTCAAAGCAGCTGCAGTCATTGTAGCCCCCAGTGACAATGACCCCACATGTATGTTGGCAAGGGAGCTGCAAAAGCAATGTCTATTCCTTGGGACATTTAGGAAAGACATATAGAGAAGCAAAGGAAACAAGTCAGAGTCCTCTCCTTTCCTCCCGCTCTGTTAATGTTTCTGGTGCAAAGCTCTCAGCCCTCCTCTCCCCCTCTCCCTGCCCTCACTCCTAGTTTTTCCTGCCTTCAATGTTGCTTTTGATCTGCCTCAGGCTGAGGCCTCCTCATACTACTCCAAAATCTCTACCCGGATTGTGAACCAACCGTCCAATTTAGAACCCAGCACACAGATTTGCCTGGGACACACCATCCTTCAAGAGATGGGGCAGTAGGCCAAGAACTCTGAAATTCTGAGATGCCTTTGTAGACCACAGCTGACGGGTTGGACCTACTACTTTTGCATTGGGAGCGCAGGACTGGATTGAAGTCACTTCTTGCCTTGGAGTGCCATCTTGTGGCAATATCTTAAACTGCAAGCGCAGTTGCAAGAGGGCTGGGTAACAAAATGGCAGCTGGATCAGTGAGGATGAAGACTGGTTTTGAGGGCTGGAGCCGAAATTGTCCTGAACTTCAAACTGAATGGGCCGCAATGGCACGCTTTTGTATTGGGAGAGCAGAGATACCTCATTGGAAGGGTTTGCAGTGCTTTGAGATCTCTCCCCAACTCTCACCCGTGCTGCTCCTTCCCCATTCATAGTGGGCTCCTGGAAACTACATTTGTGAGGCAGGTGGCTGTCACCACTGAGTTAAATCCCGGCCCGAAGCTAGGTCTGTAATCGTGACCTCAGCTCCACTGCTTACACCTTGTCTGTCTCAAGCACCCTCCTCTCAAGTCCCTTGTGGCTTCTGCTAGTGCTACTCTTTCGTTCACCTTTTCATTTCTTCAGTTGCAAATTCTCCTTGAGGCTTTCTGCTGTCAAATCTGCTGCAGAACCAGGGGAAAGAACAAGGCCTGAAGGGAAATCTTGGCTCCCGTGAAGACGAGATGACCGGAAACCAAGGGACAGAGATGCGACAGCTGGGCTGGAGCTCAGGCTTGACGCCAAGGGGAGGAAGAGGGACAGTGATGGTTGGAGTGGGGGGTGCTTCTTCAGAGAGTATCTGAGGCCTGTGTGCCCTGTAACGAAATGCCGAGTCCCGGGAATTCATAACAGACAGAAATGTCTCTCTCGTGATTCCCAAATCTGGAAGTCAAGTCCCCAGCACTGGTCTCTGGTAAAGGCTGCATTCTCCAGAGAGGAGAATCACTGTGTCTTCCCATGGTACAGGGCAGAGGCAGGAGAGACCAGTTCCCTCCATCAAGCCCTTTTCTGCAGGCACCTGAGCCCCTCACCAGCTCCTGAGGGTCTAATCTCCTCTCAAAGGTCTACTTCTTATCCCATGCAGACATCCCGGAGAGCTGTCCCTGTCCTGTGGAAAGGAAGGACCAGGTTTGAGAGGCTGCTCTGTGGGTTGGGGTGCAGTAGGCTAGATTTGCTGTATGTCAGAGAGAAGAAGTGCTGTGCTCTGGACAGTCGCAAGAAGACAGCATCAATGACTGCGCTGGGCTCCAACCAGAGACAGAAAAGCCTTCTTCTCCCCCAGCCCATGGTGCTGGGCCCGAGGCCCCCTCTCCTTTTCCCTGGATGGGACTGCCTTATTTTAAGGTTCCCTTTCACTTTCCCTTCTGGAGAAGCAAATGAAGGCCCACTAGTTTGAGCAGCAACATTTTATGGCCTCGCAGCTGAATTATTGCAACCTGCATCAGAGCAGAGTTCATTTACTCATTCAGCGAATATTTGTTTGCATGTTTCACACATCAAATGTGTTAGAGTTGTCTAGCAGCGGCGCAGTAGAGTCAGTGGAGCCACTTTCCCGACCCTCGTCCTGGGAAGCGTGTCAGAGGGGTACTTGGGGACCTTGAAGATCCAAGGGGGACCCATTTCTCCACTTTTTAAATCTGTGTGGATGTGAAGAATGAATCCCAAGTCGTGGTCTTCATTTGCACATCATTAGGACAGAGGTAGTCACCGCACCACAGTGACCTCCCCCTGCCCTGCTGCTGTACATTTCCCAAGGTTGCCCCTTCTGTCTGGCACTCCATGGTGGAATCCAGGAGGATGGAAGAACCCTGAAACTTCCTTTTGCCAGTTCTGCTAGGTTTGATCCAAAATGCAGAGCCCATGGGCCATGTGAAGAGCTCCCTTCTGCTCACACTGTCCTGATTTCTTTTCTTCCCACTTTATTTTTCCACACCTGTCACACGGTTTGAGTCTGCTACAGTCACGATATGCTGCATAGCAAAACCATCCTCAAACACAGTGACTTACAGGAGGGGTCTGTGACCCAGGCTGAGCTTGGCTGGGCGACAGTTCTAATGACTTGGGCTGACGTGAGGCAGCTGAGGCAGCTTTGATGTTCACGGGTGGCCCGTGGGTCAGAGAGGAGGCCCACGGGTCAGAAAGGTGGCCCACGCCTGTGCATTCTGGAGGCCAGAGTGACGGAGGTAGCTACCCAGGCGAACACCTTCTATGCTGATGGCAGAAACATTTGAGGCCTCTTTAGGCTCACACTTCATGGGGGCACTGTCCCCTGGCCAAAGCAAGTCACGTGGCTCAACCCCAAATCAGGTGTGGCACCGAGGTGTGGACAGAAGAGGTATGGACAGGTCAGAAGGAGACAAGGTTTGAGAAAACTACAGCTTCAAGACATAGAGTTAGCCAGGGTTACAATGCCCTTTTCACCCTAGGATTTTTAAATTTTCATTCCGGCCTCCTCACCCCTAAATTCCTAAGGTTCTGAAAGGTTCTATCAGTTCATAAATGTGTCCTGCATTTCTCATCCAATACTATAAATCCATAAATTCCAACAACTTCCACTCTCAAAGAAAGAAACAGTCCTGTTAATTGGGTATAGTATCTCCAAACTTCAGATGACTTGCTTGATAAAGCCAGTTTTTCTTTAGTCCACCAATAAGCAATCTGGCCTTGAGGAAACAGACACTCCGTGGATGATAAATAACTCAAAAAATAAACACCTTAGGTCATCCATCCAGTGACGCCCCAAGACCACATAAGGCTCCCCCCCATCACGATGTGTGTTGCCCTTGGGTGACCTTGGTTTTTGCCTAATAAACCAGCTGTGCTTTTCACAGCTGCATCGTGAAATTGTTTTTCTGAGATGAGCATCAAGAACCTCCCTGGGGTGGGTTGAGGCCTCCACACTTTCTTTAGGGGGACCCCTTTGTAGCCTTTCTGGTGACAGAACTGCTTGGCCTGGAATGTGGCCCCTGTGGATTGTGGCTGCAGGAAGGGTGAAGACAGGGCTGGTGGGGACAGGACTGGCGATTCCAGCTGTGACGCGACAGGTACCCTGCAAGTCCTCCCTCTCCAGACCCCACGCCTCCAGCTATATCTTCCCTAGGTTTGAAAGTGTGCCCAGGGGCAGTGAAAGCTAGGAGGAGACTTCTTTATTTTGATTTCCCCAAGGGATCAGGTCTAGCTATGGAGGACACAGAGAGCCAACCTGTTTATAGCATTGGAAGGGAACAGAGGGATTTTCTGAGAAGCCGCCAGCCAGGAGTCAGAGCTTTCAGTCTTCTGGCTCCATCACCACCGACTTGAGACGCCCATTAGCAGAACCATTAGGCTGCGTGGTGAGCGAGGCTGAGGAAAGCAAAGCTTTCAACCCATCAGAAGGGAAGACTGTGGGACAAAGAACAAGCCTGAGCACATTCCCCTCTAATGCTCACCACAACCCTGAAGATTGATAGTTTTAAGTCCCCGGAATGGAGCATTTATCTGGGCACAATGACAATACCTCTCCCTGGGTGGTCACTTGAATGGAATCTTGCAGAGTGTGCTGCAGACATTTCCTAGCATTGCTGGAGAATGTGGAAACACAGGGCAGAGCCCCTTGCCTTTGGGTTAAAGCAAGAAGCTTGCTGAATAGAAAAGCCAGCTGGGTGAACACATCACATGTGAAATGTGCAGACAGTTACTCTCAGACTATCCATGCGGCTCTGTCCCGGGAGCTGGGGCTGCTCTGTGCACCCCATTCTCTCTCTGACCCCTCTCTGAGGGCTCCAGTAGCCATATGGGGTGCTGTGTGGACTGGGGCAGGCTGAAAACGCTCCTGCTCTCCCGGTGCGGCTTTAGATATTGGACAGCCACACGGCTGCTGCCCATTCTGCGGCTGGCTTTGGGCAACACCCAGCTCAAGAGACCATGCCACTCCTGCTCTTTTCCACTGTTTTATTTCCTCCTTCTCCATCTCCTGCCTGGCCACAGTCATCCCTGACCCCTTACTTCCCTCCCATTCAGCCCCCTGCCCTCTCTCCTCTCCACTTCACATTTCTAGACTGCACCTCTGTGTCTCCATTTATGGAGATCCCAACAGCCCCTCAAGGCCACAGAGGCAGAGCTAAGTGGGAACCTCGCTTTCTGGGCTCCAAACTGCACTTTCTTGTCCCCCACACCACATCTCTGTTTGCACACAGCTGCATTTCTCATACAAATCACTTGGGGTTCTCATAAAAATGCAGATTCTGATCCAGCAGATCTGGAAGCGGCCTGGCTTCTGCATTTCTAACAAGCTGTTGAGTGATGCCAATGCTCCTCTGCATGGAGCACCGTGTTGCAAGGATATAATGTTTTACAAAAGAAATTCTATATGTATTTTCAATTCATCGCTATCCTTGCTGCAATCTAGTAAGGCTGGCAGGAGGGAGCGAACACACTTGTACTTTCCAGGTGAGTTGCCGAAGTCCAGAGAGATGCCATGCCTTGTCCGGTGTCCCCTGGGTAGCAGGCAGCACCCAGGAAATGGGACCCAGGCTTCTGATTGGGGTCCCTCGGCCTGGCCCGCTGCTCACCGCCAAGCTGTGATGGCCCTGAATTCTCCACAGCAGCCGCTTGTGTGTTTAATGTCTCACAGCCCCGCCTCTGGCCTCTGAGAGCAGCCTTGAGATCGCTGTGATTGTTTCTTTACTCTGAGGTCTCACTGTTCCTGGCCTAGTAAGGCTCCCAGGAGAATGAAGGACAATGGAAACATCGCATGTGGCCAGAGGTGGAGGCACGCATGTCCCCCCCGCCCACACCCCAGAGAAAAGCTCACTGTTTTCTTATGTAGGATCAAGTGTGCTTCATGGGCTGTCCTTGGCAGAGAAAGTGGGCCGTGTAAATTATACATTGAAATAATAGAGGCTGCTGCAATCTGCCAGAAGGTCTGTGATGGCAGAGATAACAACTTTGTAGAACAGTGGGCTGTGCAAGGGCACCTAGAGAACTCAAGAAAAGAGGGGACACTGGGGCTAGGCGTTTCACTTCTAGATTTCCAGCCAGCCAGGATGTAATCTCTTACCTGTGGGTAGAGCTTGCTGGCCTCTGACAAAGGTCCAACCTGCTCAGGGGTTCAGATCTTGGACAGGAAAATAAAAGAATGAAAAGCAGACCAACCAATGAGCTAGAGTGTCTAGGTGACAGCCCGAGAGCCCAGCTCACCTGCTGAACAGCTGGGAAACTGGGGATGGGACACTGCTCCAGATTTACTGTGAGCAAATTGGGGCCAGGGTTTGGGCCCCTGAACTGTAGTCTCAAGTTTTCACCTTGCTTTGCTTCTGTGCCTTCTCAAGGAACAGGTAGGTCTTGTCTGAGTCTTCTCCAGCAGGACAAATGAGATCTGGATTTAAGACAGTGGCAGCAGGGCAGCAAACTGTGGAGGCTTGGAGACAAGGATTCATTCAGGGTGTTACAGTGTGGAGCATGAATGTTCTCTGAAGGCCCCAGTATTGCAGACTATTCCCCAGAGTGGTGCTGTCCGAGGTGGTGGGCCTGTGGTAGGTGGGGCTTTGTGTTGGTCAGGTCCCTGTTGATGTAACAAAATACCTGAGATCAACAATTTAAAGGAAGAAAAGTTTGTCTTGGCTCGCAGTTTCCACCCATGGTCACGTGGCCCTGTTGCGTTAAGCCTGCAGCGAGGAGGAACATCATGGCAGGGAGCATGTAGTTGGGCAGAGCTGCTCACTTCATGGCAACCAGGAAGCAGGCAGTAAAAGATAAGAGGGGCCACAGTCCCATTATCCCCTTCAAGGACCTGCCCCCAGTAGTCTCACTTCCTCTCATTGGGACCCCAGTGACCTCATGTCCTCCCACTGGGCTCCCACTGGCCTCACATCCTCACACTGCCTTGAGATGAACAGGCCTTCTCCACCAAGTACTACGATGTACTATGACACCACAGGCTCAAAGCCATGGGTTCAGGCACCATGGACTGAGACCTCTGAAGTCATGAACCCAAATAAACCTTTCTTCCTTTCAAGTTGATTGTCTTACGTATTTTCTTACAGTAATGGAAAGCTGATTAACAAAAGGGGATACATATGGAAAAAGGCCAAATCCCTGACATAAGAGAAAGATACATTCCAACAAGTGGTCGTGCCTTTTGGTCTCTGTGTAAGGCAGCTTTTCCTGGGCCTCTATTCAGCTGGCATTTCTAGCTGTCTTGCATTAGAGCTCATTGCTTATTTGGCTCTCAGCAAATCTTGGTTGAATGAGAGGATGAACTGTGTGGAGAAGTCCCTTTCTCTACGTGTTTTCATCTTCTCCTCCAACAAACTTGATTTGACATTTGTCATTTGATTTGACATTTCCTTTCTATAAGAAAGGTCCTGTGCCTGGCCCTGGGCATGTTTTAGAAATTGGGATATTTATTCTCTTACTTGTTAAACTTATTTATTGGTTCAGAGAGTGTTTTCACTCCTGATTTTGAGATTTTTCTGTGTAGATAATCATCCTTCATCTTTCTCACATGTAGAATTTGCCTCAAATTCCACACATCTCTATCAGGGGTAAAGAGATAATGGTCTCCACCAGAGACCTCAAATGGCAGTAGCTTAAGTGACACCTGTAGAAATCTATCCACACTCAGCTCTGTTCTGTGTGGCCCCTGTGCCTTCTCTCCTCAGAATTATGCCTCCCTCTGTGGGTCTGAGCTCTCCTGCTTTATCTGCACCCCAGTGGGGACAGCAGGGAGAGGGCAGGTCCTGGAAGTTCAGCTTGAATCTGTGAAGGGTGCTGGGACAAAGGTCTTTCTTCTGCATAGCCAGGGCCTCCAGCCTTTCCTGTAAGATGAAGGTTGTAGTCTCTGCTAGAACAAGGAGGTTCCACAAGTGTTGGTTTCTTTATTTAAAAAAAAATCAATTCTGGCCTGGAACTGTCACTGTTAAAATCTGGGCCAGGCTGACTGTCACTCGTATGGTGGTTGTCCCTCCCACACCCCTGCTGCCACTATCAAGAGCAATGTGGACTCTCATCTTCCTCCCTCTACTGCTCAGTGACAAAGGCCATTCCTTCATTTTCAGAGGGTCACTGTGGCTTGAGGAGGGGACAAAACATGCTTCCCTACCCAGGACTTGGCCACAGGGACCAGAACCCCTGCCATGAAAGTCACTGCAGCCTCGGCAGTCCCCCCTCGCCCTTCACCCCAGGGCACTACATGGCCCTATGGCCACATTCTTTCTCCAGGTCCCAGAATTCCCTGACATAATCTCAGGGAGTCTTAGGAGTAAATATTTGGGCAATGGACGCTCAAGTCAGATTTGATATGCATTTTATAATTCATACTAATAGCAATCTTAAAAATAGAACTATATTTAAATGTATTTTTAAAAAATGCACCCAGCAGAGCCTCAGGGAACCTGATTGACCTATGACCTTTGTCCCTCTTTCCTGTTAGCTGACCTCACCAGGAAGCTTGAGGCATGGGACTCTTGGGACACAGTCCCTGGGGACTTCCAGAGGCCCCTGCAGGCCCAATGATGGCTGGCCCTTCCATAGTACTCTCTCGGTCCCAGGAACCACTCTGAGGGCTTTTCCTCGGGGAACTCATTTCATTTTCACAGGGCTGAGGGCAAAGGGTACATGAGGAGTCAGAGGCCTTCCAGGTGACTTCTGACTGAGGGGACAGGACAGGATGAGGGAGGGCTTCCCCAGTGGGATGGCAGGGGGGTGCCTTATGGCTGGCTTTGCAGGGTGGAGTGGCTTGAAGGGGATGTAGTCACACAAAATGTCTAGGCCCATGCAAAGGGAAGAGCAAACTACACTCTTGGATCCAAGGGAACAATTTACTTCAGGAACCAGCCCATGGCAAGTGAGATTGTGAGCTGGAAGGGAGGGAAAGCGAAGGTAGGAGGGGTGTGCATGCTCATACAGGACTGGCCTGCAACTGCTACAGTAGGCTGGCCATCTTTAATCACTGCCTGGAGGAGGCCCAAAGAAAGAGTCCTCACAGGTCATGAACACCATGGTAACTACCACCATGGTAACTACCGTTGAGTTCCTCGTGTGTGTGGCAGGCACATTTATGTTTATGGCCTCTCATAACCACCACAATCCTGCAAGGTAGACCTTGTCTCTCTCTATCTCTTTTTTCTTTTTTGATAGATAAGGAAATTGAGGCCCAGTGTCATTTTCTCAAATTCGTAGCTAAGCACAGAAAAGTGCAGAAGACTGAAACAGACCGAGTGCATGATAAATGATTGTGGGGGATGGAATGGGATGGGCAAAGGTAAAAATAGGCAAGATCATTCTAGGAGGAAAGCAGGTGTACTTGGCACTTTGATGGGCAGGGTGAATTCCTCCCAGCAGAGGGGAGGGCAGGAGCATTTGCGGCAAGGGGAAGCACATAAGTAAATGATGGGAACAGGGATAAGCATGGTGTGGAGCCCCAGCAGAGGAAACAATCCTGATAGGCCAGAGGGGCTAAGCTGGGGGACTTTGTCACAAAATGTATGGGGTGAGACTTTGGATTGGCTTCAGTAGGATTTACACAAGTTCTTGGCACAAGTTCTTGAACCAAAAAGTGACAGATTGAAAGCAGTGATTAGGAAGATGAAAACCCAAAGCACACAGGTGGGGCCTTGGGGATGGATGTGTCACAGCCTTCCAAATCAACACTTCCTAGCCTGCAGCTCCAAAACACAATCACCCAATCATCACTGAACGTTTCCTTTAGCATAGAGTACACAGTGACATCCCGGATGTCCAATGGCTCCAAGCTCGAGCTTTTTACTACTCAAACAGTGAGGTTTGAAAAAACAAAAAACAAAAAACAAAAAAAATCTGCTCGGTGTCGGTAGCTTTGCTCAGTAGTCAAATTGAAAATCCAACTTGCAAAACACCTGCATGGG